CGCTATAAGTTACACTTTATTAAATTTTTATCGGACATTTTTACTACCATATTAAAGAGCACATTAAATACTATAATGCCACAGCCTTCTGGAGGAGCGCCATCGAGAGATTCGGCCGCGCGAAAGTGAGTGGGTACCGGAGTTGAGCGAGATCGTTGATTTCTCCGCCACTGTAGACCACCCTGTTGAGCTCCGCCCGAACTAGGTAATTGAGTGGGTTCAGGTCAGGGGACATATTTCAATATTACATCTTCATCAGGTACGAAACGCCCTTCCATTCGAAGTAGGCGGGAGTTTTTCCAAAACCCTTCGATTCCATGTGGTGGCACCCAAACCTGTAGCAGCACAAGGTCTCCAAGAAGGTACGGGCGACCACATGTAGGGAGGATATTCTTCTCGAGTTACTTGATGTAACCGCCAGCGCTCACCTTCAGTCGGGGTCTACAAAGAAAATATCGGTCTTCCCCTTTCCAGGTACCCCGGTCCATACCATCAACTCGCGCCTCGGCGAATACGGTGAAGATGATGTCCTAGACCGTAGCGACGTTGCCGTAGCTGCTCGATGTGGGAGGTCTTGCAGATCAAGAGTACTGACCTCCAGGTAGCTATCTGTGGATGACTTCATTCAAGAAGTTTCGCAGCTGTTTGGAGGCGACGTGAATTCCAAAGGTGTTCTCCAGTCAGGCCGCGACTGGAGATGACTTCATATTTTGGCGTACATGAAGGCGATTGGCGGCAGCCTGCTCCAGCTTATAGAGGAAGATCTTGGGTATCTTCCACTCTGGTACTCATATCCACTTCCCCTGTCTGGGCTGCGAAAACTTCGTTGATATGTGGCTCGGCCGAAATGACTTTTTTTTGGCCTCCCCCTATATATATATTCTCAGCGTTTTGTGTTACTATTTTTTGTACATTCATTGCTGATTAAGAACTCATTCTCCTTGCGTCTCAGTAGTACACCCTGGAGAGAGTTTTTTGCGCTATTTGATGCTTTCAGCATTGCGTGACAAAATCTCTTTTCACAAGATTTTCTGAAGCATGTCAAAAGAGCAACTTCGGACGATATTTTTCTTCAACAAATTGGGTCAATCCGCAGTCGAGACAGCTCGACAAATTAACCAGGTGTGGGGGCCCAATAGTGTTGGAGAAAGCACCGTGCGACAATGGTTCGACAAATTTCTGGAGATTTCAGCCTTGAAGATGAACCTCGTAGCGGTCGACCTAAAGCAATACCTGACGAGGATTTGAAGGCGTTTGTGGAGGCTGACCCATCCCAAACAGTTCGATTGCAGAAAAGCTAGGCGTTGGCAAATCCACTGTTGCGGATGGTCTGAAACGCATTGGGAAGGTGAAAAAACTCGACAAGTGGGTGCCCCACAATTTGAGTGACCGGCAGAAATTGGCACTTTCTTCTTCACTGCTTTTGCGCAACAGAAACGACCCGTTTTTGGACCGAATTGTCACCTGTGATGAAAAGTGGATCATGTATGATAACAGGAGACGTTCCGGACAGTGGTTGGATGCCGACGAACCACCGAGGCAATTTCCAAAGCCGAATCCTCACGAAAAGATTATGGTCACAGTGTGGTGGTCATCGGCTGGTGTGATCCACTATAACTTTTTGTCACCAGGCCAAACCATCACAGCAGAGTCCTACTGTGAAGAAATCGACGAAATGTACCGAAAATTGCGTCAGCTGCAGCCAGCACTTGTCAACAGAAAGGGTCCGATTCTTTTGCATGACAACGCCCGCCCACACGTTTCAAATCACTATCCATAAATTGAACGAATTGGGGGTTGAAGTTCTACCTCACCCGCCATATTCTCCAGACCTTTCACCAACCGACTATCACCTTTTCAAACATTTTCAGAACTTCCTTGCTGGAAAATACTTCATCAATCAGGACCAGGCAAAAAAAAGCCTTCGTGGATTTCGTGGATTCTCGACCACCCAGTTTTCTTTTGATGGGATTCGACTGTTGTCACATTGGCAAAAGTGTGATTCGAACGGTGCTTATTTCGATTGAATCCGATGAGTATTAAGAAAGTTATGATCGTTTCAAAGTGAAACACTCAAAACGCTGAGAACTTTCCGGACAACCTAGTAGTAAATCCACAGCACATCGTGGTATACCAGGAATCTTTGAATGTTTCTTTTTCTTTCAACTGGCACAGTTGCAGATGCCACCCGAACGCCTCCTGGAATACGAAATCATCGAACGCTGCAGTCGAGCAATCGCAATCAGTCACATTATGATCCTTTCTCAGTGCGTGTCGTTATTTTCTAACAGTAAATCTTGAATGCGATGTGCTTTTTCAAAGCAGCCTAACCAGGTTTGTTCTCCTTGCTCCGTATGTTACAATCTTTCAGAACGCAAAATCATCATTCGGCGGCAGTTTGACATCAGGGTTACCGGTAAATAGGAGCATTAAACAGGATTTTTTACCAACATGCTCGTTCTGCCTTCTGACGTAAGAAGCTAATGGTAAGGATTGGACATTTCATTGATAGGATCTACTCCTTCCAGTTTTCCTAACGAAGCTGGACTCCAAGTGCACGAGGTTCGATGTAGTAGGAAGGCCGAATCAATTCATGCAGATGCTGAAGAGGTTCGAAATGCTCTTATGTATGCGCATGACTTGGGGTTTTGCAGTGTGCTTTTTCAGTTCAGGGTCGACTCGCCGTTCATGCTGCAAACTCCAACAAAAAATTCCGAGTCTGATGCATACAGTAGGTATCCCCTTAAAAAAAGATTGCTAGCTGCTGTGGCTTGTGAGCAACAGGGTCCTTCAAAAATTCCTAGACCGGTAAGTAGCGCAACATGCCAGCTTGATTCTTCTTTTAATCCCGCGTAACTCTACTATTTTCAGGAATCAGGCGATATAGTCATACACGAACAAAAGACGCCAACAGCGGATATGAAGGAAGACGTAGTCGAAGTAGTCAGTGATACTTGCCGAAGGTAAACTGCATAACATCATTGTTATTTATTTTCTTTGCTAGTATAGGGAGCAAAAGTGCATTCGCAAATGAATGGTGTAGTGGTTTGTGCTGCGGAATTTCCTGACAATGGGATTGTGACCCTCCCAATGGGGATTCATGGTTCGATACATTTGGTGACGATTTTACGTCATCGGACTTCGTATCTTTTCGTTCTCAAGTGTTTCCGTAACCCGAATTCATGTCATTCAAAAGGCATTGCGCAGATACCTGATTGGTAGAATCTTTCCGAGTATCAGATCGGCAGGAATTCAGAGCAGAAAGTGTTCTACTTTCGCCACTCGTAAGTGCGGAGGCTGGAGGCGCTGGAGACTTGTGGCTGATCTCTGTCTAGCTTTCTTACAATGATAGACACCCCAACATGTCACTGCTGCTGCTTGTCTGCACCTTCCAAACGAGATAGTGTTCGATGGGTTTGGCTGACAAGGGAATTGCTGTCAATCGATCCACTCATTTGATATGAGGTGTACACAGATCTACGTCTTGGGACGTTGAGCTCAATCCCGTTTTTGGAATATGTGGAGCATTCGCTGAACGAAGTCATAAAGGTTTTCTCTGGGTTGCGTTCAGACTTCGCGATGTCGCGCTACAGTGCCACCTGTGCCACCTAACTTCAACATTCCTTTACCCATTCTGCTTTAGTATTTACCCTTTTCGAGTAGTTACCGTTTTTCGTTTCAGAATGGTT